ATATATTATTTTCTTTTTCTTTATTATTATTATTATTATTATTATTATTATTAAATGTTTCACGGTTCAATATATTTCCTGCAATCGATGGAAATCAATTAGAAAGGAGACAGGACAGTAAAATAAAATAAAATAAAATATAATATAATATAATATAATAATAATAATAATAATAATAATATGAACACAGAGGAATAAAATTGTAGAGTGAAAATAAATGCATCATCTTCGTATAATGCAATCAACGTTTCGAAAGATTTCGTGACTCGTTGAAAATAAATAAGAGAGGAAAGAGGAGAAGGAGGAGGAGGAGGAGGAGGGTAATATGAGAATAATAAATGTAATATAAATATATATATATATATATAATGAAAGATAAAATTTAAATATAAGAATTTGAAGAAAAGGAGAGAAAAAAAAAAGGAAGAAAATTTATAGAATAAAAATAAATGCATAAATGTTCCCATTGCAACAGATAAGTTTCGAAAGATTTTCGTGAGACACCGTAAAAATACTGAGTGAGTGAGTGAGAGACGAGAGACGAGAGGGGAGGATTGGGAGGAAAAAAAAGGGGGCCAAAAGAAAAAAAGTAAAAAATGAAATATTTAGTCGCAACTCTCTTGCACATTCCGCAATAATACAAAGTTAGGCCCGTAGGCGTATATAAATGACACACAGGGTAACAAATATAACTTGTACGAGAATGAACGAAACGCGACCAACGGTAATTTCTACGAGCCTACCCAACTATAACTGTTCCTAACATGATAATAAATTTTACTATCATTTGATTATCGATACTTCCATAAATAAATTTTCTTACGATATTAATCCTAACATTAATTTCATTAATTATAGACAACGATAAAATGGTTTTTTTTTCTCCCATAAGTTGCATATGAAATAAAACGAATTGTGGTTTATTACGAATGAAAAAAAAATGATATGGTAGATTGAAATTTTTCATTTATGTTTAATATATTATATTGTCTTGTTTTTTTTTTTGTTACGAATATTCGTATCGAAATGTTTTATTATACTCTTGTAATTAATTCGATGTTCGCGTTTATATTTGTTATATTAAAAATGTCGACATATATTACGAGAATCGTATATTAATCAATAAAATTGTTCTTCAGTAATATATTTCTAATAAATCTATACTTTTTTAAAATTGATAATACACACAAGTAATTAGAAAATATCAAATAATATTTAACTTCGAACCCCGAGATTATAATTTTTTGTTTAAAAAAAAATAGAAAATTTTCTAAAGTATTTACGAATTAATTCGAACGTTTTTCCGCCGCTCCCCCCCCCCTCTCCCAATAAGAATTACCTTTCTTAATTATGAGAAAAAGAATTTACAAAAATGTAATAATTAAGTATAATGTAAGAAATTAAAGAAAAATTCTTCTGTCGGTATTTCTTATACAAGTTTCGCATGACGTTATTATAAATTGGAAAGTTATCGTATAGAATTATAAAACATTAGAGATATTTTCACTGGGCCACTGGCTCTCTTCTCATGCTTCTATATTTCTCAATTTCTACATTCTTTTTCTTCTTTTACTTCATTTTATAGACCTTTTTTCTTTCCTTTTTTTTTTGGTTTAGTTTTGTTTCACTTTAGATAGATGCGTTTTCTTGAAGAATAATCGAAGGAAACTGTGTACGTCTACTTTCGCGTAGAAATGCGATGAAAGTATGTAGTTTTTTTTTTTAGGATACGCATAATCGACGAAAGTATGGGATGAGAAGCAAATCTCTTGAAGCATATCAATATTTTCTATATTTTAGATACCATTGTTTCTTGTGTTTTCTTCTTTTCATTAATAAATATTATTATCATACTTATTTATGCATGTACGATCATTCCCAAACACAATTATGATTGAATTAAAATAATACAAATAAATGAACAATATTTAGAAATTAGAAAAAACTGAATAAAATATACCGTAATAATATAATTAATATTATTTTCTAAATTAATTCTAATTAATCACACACGCGAGTTACTTAACTTTGTTCTGTGCAACGTGCACGAACGTATATACTCTCGTGATTGTAATTAATAATTTAATAAAAAATAAAATAAAATAAATAAAAGGAAACTGTGTTGAGACCTCGATCTTATCAACGTTCGAATCTTTCTAATCTAACATTTGTTTTACTTGTTTTGTGAGTAATACATTGCGTGTAGGCGTGACTCGTTCTCACATAGACACAACACACACACACATAAATATATTTCCGGATGGGTCTTTCACCCACGAGGGAGAAATTATCGGAATTCGTGCGAAAGTTCATTTCCTTTTCGTCTTCGTCAACGTTGAAATCCCCTACGGGGTTTTATAAAAGTGCGGAAAATAAATTTAATCTTTAATATATATATCGTATAAGGAAAATTATTAAAATAAAATTCATATTGATTTAATGTAATTCAATGAAATCTTTTTAAATGTGCGTTTACAAATGTGTTATTTTAAATTCAATATACGAATCAAATAAATTTTATATACGAAAATGGAAGTACGATTTACAATTCAAAAAAGTTGCTGTTACTGTTATTGTTCTTGTTGTTATTGTTGTATATATATATGATTCTTGTAATTTTAAATAATATTTTTCATTTTCAATTGTATTTAAATATTATTTTATTTCACAATAAAAAAATATATGTGTGCGAAGAACAATATGAAGAGGATTAGATAACAGAATTAATATATAATTTATTAAACGTTTATCAAAGAGATCTTTAGATAATTTTCCATATTTTCATGCTCGAATAAAGAATCTTTGTTGCACGTAAGTTAAAGGGTTAATCGTGAAGAAACAATTTGATTTTTCGTCGAACCGTGCTCGTTTACGATATCAACTATCTAACACAAATAATTTCATTTCCATCCAATTATGCAACGTAAATATATATATGTGTATGCAAGTACATGTATGTATGTGTGTGTGTCCTATTTCCTGAGCTTTTATGATACTTATCGAAATAAACGATAAGAAAAAAAGATTTCTCATAACTTACCAACATCTGCTACGAACATTGATGTTTTATTTATTCGTAAAAATATGCCAAACAAATATTGAGACATCTTTCTTAAATTATTTATTATGTAAAATAAAATGACGGAGAATACGAAACAAACGTTAAGAACAATTTACAATTCAAAAACTTGATGGGGACTTCCGCGTACGAATTTTATTCACTTGGGAAACTCTAAACAACGAGAATAAAATAGTTTTTAAAAATTGTTTCAATTTTACATTAAATTACGCGCACGAACGAAACACTAATAAACAATTAATATATCGTATCATTTAAATAATTAATTATTTTATCATTTATAACGATAAAAACTATTTACGTTTTACGTATTATTATCTACCCCCGTATGCTTTTCAAGAAGATTCAAGTGCTGAACAGAGATTGTAACCTTTCAAAGCTTCTGTAAAAACCACTCACCCGTATACTTCTCTTCAATGTTAAAAAACAGATCCACACAGAGAGAAAGAAAAAAAGATAACTTGGTTTTGGTTTCTGAGAGGGGGGTAACACGTGTTTACATATACTATTAACATATGGATCATGTTTTACGAGTGGTGGTGAGAAACATTCGACTAGAATTTCAAGTTGTAATATAATTTAGTTAATCTTGCGATATAAGTTTAAAATTAAAAAAAAAAAATTCTCATTTTGAAGTCGAAGAATTTGTTCTCTCTATCAGAATATTGCATTAGAAATTATTTGTAAAAAAAAAAAAGTTGTACGAGTTAATTTGATTGATTTTCAAAGTAATATTCAACAAAATATCATATTGAATATAATATTTATATCACGATATATTATAAAATACAAAAATATCTCAAACAATTGACCTAAATCCTTCATACTATATATATTATCATGGACCAGTCTATCTTCTTACTTAAATTATATATCTTGCATTAGAATACGATCTAACTCGTAATTACGAAATCATTTTGTTCGGATAACGAATAATCGATGTAAGAGGTATATACACAATTTCAATAACACAATGAAGGCGTGTCAAGATATTATTTTCAACTCTAAAGTTGTATTTCCTTTATATAATAAGAACGAATTTATGTTTTGACAAAAGAAGAACGAAAGAAAATAATTCATTTCCATATACGCGTGGGGGGACTGAAAAGTTTTGAATAACAAAAATGAACGAGAGAGTATGGGTCCCCAAATGTTTTTATCTTCTTTTTACAACAACAAAATAAATTCAAAACTTTTTATACTCGATCTTCGTAAAAGAAAACAAAGAAAAGGAGAATAAAATTATCAAACGTTTTCATTTCATCTTACAAAAATCTTTCGCAACTATGTTAAATAAAGAAATAAGAAGAAAAATCACGTATAACAAAATAGATAATTTTGAATAAACCAATAAAGGGTTAAATATGCGCCATGTTTTCTTGAAAACGATAACAAAATGGCTCTGCTTTGATATCAAAATTCAAAAAATTTACCTCTTTCCTCCCCTATCATTCCAACAACAATAACAACACAACAAGAGTAATAAGAATATATTTGAATATGTTCGCACAATTTATCGAGACAAATAATAACAAACGATAATAACACAAGAAGAAGGAAAAGAAAATATATTTTCATTTATCCTACCATGATTCGAAGATTCGACAGTTAGAGAAACACGTTCGATCGATTTTTTAAGGGTGCGAGGGGGTGATAATTTATTTCCTGAAAAGAGGGAAAGTAGACAACTATTTATCTATCCATCCATTCATTCGTTCCTTATATACTTTACATATATACGTAGATATATATATCTATGTATTACGTTCGTTCGCACGACGAGCCCGTACGAACGAAATCGATAAGCTACAGTCTACACACACGACATTGGGAAAAAAAAAGGATAGATATATAATTAAAAAACAAAAAAAATAATAATAAAAAAAGAAAGAACAACAATTTATTATCCGATAGAACTTACTGTGAAAAAATGTCCTTTTTCCTTATCCTAATCCATATATGGCCGATGAATCGTATTTATCTCAAATATTCTCTTTATCTTCTCTAATGCCAAACGAATTCACTCTCGAACATGAACTTTAAGTACGAGGGGGGTTGGTTATCGGACGATTGGAAACTCTTATTCGTTCAAACAAAATAATATATTGTAGTTTTAGATCCTAGAAAACGGTTCGTTTCAAACGTTCCTCTTTTTCTATAGAAAATATATATATATATATATATGTTTTTGTTTGAAGAATTTGTAGAAAATCAAACTAACGATTATAAGTTGACGTTAATCTAATCTTTTTTTTTTTATTTATTTATTTATTTATTTATTTATCTATTTATTTATTTGGTTATATCTTTTTATTTTTATTATTATTAGATTTTAATCTAATTTGATTTTATTATATGGAAGCACCACTACTACCACCAATTCGATTCGATTCGATTTAATTTCGTATCGTGTGCTTTGTCTCTTTATTTTCAAAGACGGAAACAATTCGATGTACAAACTGCAGCAACGCCGCAGCGACGACTGCCGGCGATCAGCAACCAGCCCTACGCTTACCACCCCCTTCTCCCACCATAAATGCTAACCAACACTGTACATAGAAAGGAGGGGTTACTCCCATCGAATTTGAATTACGCGGTAAATATCTCTAAGCGTGACGTATGCAACGTCAAAATGGCGCCACTTTTGAAATTTTATTCACCTATAATTATTAAATTAATTGATATTATTAATCACGTTTGCTTTCTTTTTTTTTTAAATAATAACAAATATATAAATATATATATATATATATTTATAAAGTCAGTAGTTTTTAAAATTTATAATCAATATTTCGTTAAATAAATGATTAGTATATTTGAAGATTTTGTTTAGTATATATAATAGTTTATCAGTATTTTAAATTGATGCTTACAGTATTTTTAATTGAATTAGGATTATGTATCAATACGAGATAAATACTGATATTTAAAATATAGTTAGTGACCATAAACACAATTCATTCAAAGATAATGTTCGTTACCTAAACTGTTTGTTAAACCATCACTAATACTGTGCTGATAGTTTTTGTTATTAATTGTTATAATACTTATCATTTATTTATAATATTGACTAAAAATGTTGAAAAAAAACTGACCTGATAAATAGCAGTCTCTTTGTTATATCAATTTACTGTCTGTTAAAATCTTTCACTGATATTGTAGAATTCAAAACCCTTAGCATTTCTTTTCTTTGATAATCAGTTTTAAGAGAGCCCCATACTTCTTCCAACTTTTTCTGATGATATCTCTAAACAGAAAAATAATATTCGCATTAATTAAACTCATATTTAATGCATTACTTATCGACAGCCAATTAATAGGCTTTAAACTAGCAATGCTTATTCATTGTCAGTAAGTAAAATGTTAAAGTCACAAATTAAAAAATATATATTAATACTTACTCTAACATTAAGGAAACAATGTTTTATAGTTGCACCGATATAAATAATATTTACTTTAACAGTTTGATGATCAATATCAGTAATCAATGGAAGTGCATTTAATATAAATCTATGCGGTCCATGCCTAGCTCTAACGAACGCTATTTTCGTAGACGAGTTATAATATTTAGCTGTAATAAAAGAAAATGATTTAAAATATATATATTAATAAAACAAAATATATATGTGTATAATCTTAATTATTAAATAAATTACTTAAGAGCCCAATCGATGCTGCAGCCAATCCATAATCTCCATATAATTGCTGTATTTTTTTTTTAATTGCATTAAGCAATGCTGTTGGTTTGAGTGATTTATTTTTATTATTCATTATTTCTATTTCAATTGCAAAATACCTAAAATAAAAAACAAAAGATTAATATAATATAATAATTCTAATTCATATATTAATCTAACCTACAAATTAAATATATTTATATATAAACTTAACCTATAATATGCACTTATTTACCTATGTTTAAACCGAACCATTATAAATGTTACACACTTATACTTTTAAAATATAATTTATAAATAACACAATTATTATATATATATTATTTTAATATAATGATTAATATTTATTTTTAAATCGTTAAATTTTATTTCAAGATACGAGAAACTTGCATAGCACATTATCAACTGGTTAAAATGTTTAGGTCGATACTGAGCGCACATGTTATTGCACACGTGGCTTTAACTTAATAAGGAAAAAAACAACGTACGATAGTGAAACACATAATGAAAAGTATTGCATTGGAATAATTATTGGAATAATTATTGGAACAATTAGAATTTGTTTATGTAATATTTTTTTCATAACTATAATTTTATTAATAATATATATTTGTTTATATATATATATATATATTATTAATAAAAATTATATTAATAAAAAAGTATGTTATCACAGTAACGTTATTCAAGAACGTAGTAAATGAATGAAAAGTCAAGGTAATATTGCAAGAAATGTCAATTTCTATGCATTACGTAAACGTCACTCATATCTTATCCTGACAGTGAGTTAATAACATTTAATTTATGTTATGTGAAACACTATTCATATCAATTCTTAACTTTGATAAATTATATTATTTGCATGTAATTTCTTTAATCTACAACATATGTTAGATTATTTTCAATTAATTTAATGAATTATTTATTAATCTTAAATTATGAAAAATAATTTTAACTATATCAGCTTGTACTTTAGTAATCATTCAATGCATTGTATTTGTTTAGTTTTCTAATTCTATTATTTTCCTACTTTATATGTTTCGCTAAGTTCAACGTTATCTCAGGGTCATATGATATTATTATCTGGGATTATAGACATATAACTTTTCAACTGATAACCATAAGTCATATTTTTCTGAAAATTCATAATGGATCCCTTCTCTGTACAGAACATTCAGTTGGCTTTCATTAATGAACAATACAATATTCTTAAGTATACAGACATTCGAGGAAGTAAAATGATGAACTATTTTGTCGGCGTTGATGTAGGAACTGGAAGTGCAAGAGCAGGATTAGTATCTTCCAATGGAAAAATTATTAAAGTAGCGACATGCCCTCTTGAGATATTTCATCCAGCACAAGATTATTATGAACAATCTTCTGATAATATTTGGGATGCTGTTTGTAAAGTAGTTAAGGTAGATAATTCTTATAAATAATTTTTACTTTTATTCATTCGACGTATTCATTTTATAGACAGTTATAGAAGGTACTCCGATTAGTAATATTAAAGGTATTGGATTTGATGCTACTTGTTCCTTAGTAGCAATAGACAAAAATGGATTACCGGTCAGCGTTAATCCATCAGGTAAAATAAACAATTATTCTAAATTAAATGAATATTTACTAATAATATTTTTTACTTGTATAGGCAAAGATAAACAAAATGTTATACTTTGGATGGATCACAGAGCTCAGAAGGAAGCGGATCTTATTAACAATCTTGGACATGATATACTTCGTTATGTAGGTGGCAAAGTTTCCTTAGAAATGGAGACACCTAAAATGCTTTGGCTAAAAAACAATTTACCATCATCCTGGAATCGCGCGACATTGCTTTTCGATCTTCCTGATTTTCTAACTTGGAAAGCAACTGGTTCCGAATCTAGGTAACGATATTATTATATTATTTATCTTTATTAAAATATTAAAATTCTATTTATGTGTGTGCGTTTGTGTGTTTATATATATTTATAGATCTTTGTGTTCTTTGGTTTGCAAGTGGAATTATTATGCTCAACCTGGTGTAAATAACAGTGGTTGGAAGGAAGACTTTTTCAATCAAATTGGCTTACAAGATCTCAAAGATAATAATTGGAGTAAATTAGGTATTAATTAATTATCTATGATATTTTCTCATTTGTAATACAATATTATTATTAACAAATATTATTTTTTTAAAAGGTAACGTGATAAAAGCTCCTGGTGAACCAGTCGGTAAAGGATTATCTGCACAAGCAGCATTAGAATTAGGACTTTTAGAGGGAACAGCAGTAGGCACTTCCCTCATCGATGCACATGCTGGTGGACTTGGTATGATCGGTTGTTCTGCTCCTGGTATATCTAATGAATTAACTAGCCGATTAGGTGTGTAAAATATTAACTTAAATGATTCCGACATTTATTTATAAATTTCTAATATAAAAAAATTTTTTTTTTAAATTCTAGCACTCATATGTGGTACGTCAACATGTCACATGGCTGTAAACGAGAATAAAATATTTGTTAATGGTATTTGGGGACCTTATTACAGTGCTATGATTCCTGGTTTATGGCTAAATGAAGGTGGTCAAAGTGCAACTGGAAAATTACTTGATCATGTAATCGATACGCATCCTGCTACTCCTAAAATTCTTAAATCTTTAGGAAATAATAAGTAATTTTTAATACATTATAATTATTAATGTTAGAATACATTTCTAATTATATTATTTATTTCAGACATATTCAACAACATTTATCTGCGTTATTGCAAACTATGGCGGATAAAAAAAATATTAGAAATGTATCCTATTTAACAAAAAGTATTCACGTCTGGCCCGATTTTCATGGAAACCGTTCCCCGCTTGCTGATCCAACGTTAAAGGGAATGGTATGATTTTGATAACTAAAAGAACGATTTAAACATTTGTTCTAATTTTTTGTTCAATCAGGTTTCAGGTTTGTCTCTATCAGTGGATGAAGAAAACTTAGCAATATTATATCTAGCTACAATACAAGCATTAACGGTATAATGTAAATTTAATATACAAATACTTTAATTGAAATATATGTATTTATATAATTATTATTTTTATTTCAGTATGGAACGAAATATATTTTGGAAACTTTAGTAGCTGCGGGTTACAAAATAGAAAGTATATTAATTTGTGGTGGTCTTAGTCAAAATCCATTGTTTGTTCAAATTCAAGCAGATGTTTTGGCTTTACCTGTGCTCTGTCCTACAGAAAAGGAATCGGTTTTAATAGGAGCTGCTATTCTCGGATCATATGCAGCAAAAGAATTTCTTTCCATGGACACTGCTATAAAATCGATGGGAGGTCATGCAAAAGTTATTCAACCTCAATTGGAATGTTACAAGTGCGTATTTTCTGTTACAAATGTTCGTCGTTGATTAAAATCATTACAAATTTGATATATTTTTTAATTATAAAACTTTTTCTCATCACAGATATCATTTACGAAAGTACGAAGTTTTTAAAAAGATGGTGCAAGATCAAAGAGATTATGACAAGTTTATGAACGAAGAAATAAGTACCTGATTTGTTTATATTATTTTTTAATAACATTTTTATCTATAGCATTATTGCTATTACAATAACATTCATATAAGTTATATATATTGTTCAAAAGATTTTATATTACGTGCAAACCTTTATAGATATTTTTTGTACTTATATGTAAAAAAAAAGAAAAAAGAAACAATATATATATACTATATGGTCGTCTTAATTACTCTCTTTTTTACAAGTTTGAGATACCTTGAAGTCAGATGGTACTGACAATCCTGACACTTCCCTGAAGTCGATAGAATATAAAGTGTTTCAAAAAGATTACTCATCTAAGTACTAAAGTCCCCATCGTTGCTCAACATCAGTGATTGAACAGGAACTAGTTTGTTCAACAAGGTAGGAGCTCTTTTGGTTGTGTGTGACAATATAATATATAATTATATTTATTTTTATCACAAATTACAATTAATAATATAAAGAATAATATATGTTTATATTGTGCTTAACAATTTTTAATACATTTCGTTAATACTTAAATTTACTCGTTTGTGTATATAGTTAGAAAAAACATACTTCATAACGATATTGCTAAAAATTTCACATTAGAAAAAAATATCAAAAGTTATTTATTATTCTATAAGAACATTTTACCTTTTTTTTTAATAATAAAAAAAAATACATATATTGAGTAATAAGTATTAAGCGTCTCTCCAATATCATTATACAAGTCTAAAAAACGATAATAACGTACTTTGATAAAAAATTCAAATGAATCCTTCGAAAAGTACAATATATAATATATTCTTCTTCTTTAAAGCTGTCATTCCTTCTCGCATTTTCACGAATTCAAAGATAATAGATTTTAATATTATTTACAAAATTCGAAAACAGGAGTTTTCTATGCGTGTAAACGATTTCAAACATATTATTTGAATAAAAAGAACAAAACTGAAACTACATATAGAATATTAATAAATCAATAGGAATATGTGTGTATTAGGAAGCAATAAATTTCTCTTTCTTTTGTTTTCCTATCACAAAAATATTGTTACGTATACAAGTTATTCCATCGATAACTCAATCCAGTATTTCTTTCACGATTAAAAAAACACTTATCTTGGTGCTTCTTCGAATGTACAATTATATACATTATAATACTGGTAAAATGCTTTGGATACGATGTTACAAACGTTATGTTCGTTAAAAAATACTTTATCAGATCCAAATTGAATTATATATAAATGGATTGCCTGTAGTTTTTCTTGATCAAACGGTGTCTGTATATTCTGTACACGAAAATAAGAAAACATTATTTTTTTTTGTGCAATGCTGACAACATTGTTTGATTGGAAAAACTTTGGACATCTTGTACATTAAAAATAAATAAATAAAAAAAATTGTTAATAATATTTTAAACATTGGTTATTCACTGATTGCACTATCTTTTTTCTTTTATATTTTTCCTAGACTATTTCATATCTTCATTGAAATGATACTTTGTAGAATTTAATTCGAAACAAATATTATGTTTGTTCTTTTCTTTTCTTCTTTATCGATACACGCAAGTATTAATAAAAAACAAAGGATAGATTAATTAAAAAAGAAAATTATTATTAGCGTATTCAATTATTTGGAAATATTCCATTACCATTAACTTCGTCAGTCTTCCGATAGAATAATCTGTACAAATTATCAACTGTATCTATGATAATATATCAAGTCAAAATGATTAAATATCATTGGGACATTAATTACATACTTAAAAATATAATCTAAGGCTTACTCAGAATAATAGATAATTCTTTTTTTTTTTTTTTAAATCTTGTATAATGATATATAGCTATAAGATTTCAACAATAGTTTTAAAGATACGATTTCAACATATAAGATATCCCAAAATTCATTGGAAGACGTGTACCATGTATATGTGTGTTGTGTGTTTGTATATTTATGATGATTGATAGTAATTTGCACTATTAATAAAAATAACATTTTATATAAAATATATCATTAATTCACGAGTAACTATCTCCATATAGTATTGAAGCATCAGTTAATATTTTTACTAATATTTTACTTTCTTTTTTTACAATTTCAAAAATATATCTATATCTTTAATATTGTAAAAAAAATATTTTTCTTTTTTAAAAATATTACCTTTGTTCATATATCTTACTTCGTAATTAATATTTTGTGCTCTTTCATTAATAATATAAAAATAATGGATTCAATAAACAATTGTAAGATTATTCAAATTCATGTAAACCGAAAACATTCGGCAATATGATTTAACATATGTTGAAATGCTGTTGAAGGCGAAGAACCAAATCTTTGTCTCCATAGATACCTTGATATTATATGTTGACCTAACGTATGCGTAGTCTCTTGGATTTCTTCGCATATTTCTACACCCGTTCGCCAAATAGTTTCTTAAATAAATATAGATGACGATAACAAATAAGATTATTCTATTAAGATGTGTATCAAATACAAAGGAAAAGAAAAAGAAAGGAAAGATATAAAATAAGAAAAGAAAATAATAAAAAAATAAAAAAAAGTTTACCTAAATTATCCAGAAGTTTGGATTTCCCTGGTGGATCGAACTTTTGTAATTGCTCAACGCTGATAACTTTATATTGCTTTAATTCTAACAACGATTCATAGCTGCAGCAACGAGCTTTACTATTAGCTATAATGCAACTTCCAGGTAACGTGTGACTTGTTATTTCTTTCAAGGCCTCTTTCACCATATTACATCTACCGACATCTTTTTTGATATTATCCATTTTGATAGGCTAAAAATATAATATTTAATATAAAATAATATACAAATATACTTGATTTTTTAAAATTCTTTTACCTCTGGTATTGCTTCTATCATATGCAACCACATACGTGGTGGCAAAGTATTCGCTTCCACTATACAAACTATAGTATGAGAATTATTGTTACGTTTTCTATTAGAACTTGTATCTACATAATTTCTAACCATACAACCCCCTGGAAATTCATCAACGATAACTATTGCACTCTTATCCCCCATCATCCAATCTTCTGGATGACTCATCACATAAGTTTCTGAAACTTCGTCGCATCTTTCGTATACTTTCTTAACTATATGAGTTTTAATATCTGTAAATAAATTACAATACTTAAACAAAATCCTTAATACATTTTTCATTACTCTTTTAGATTGTTAATAATTATTAAATTTATGATAAAATACTAACCGAGATAGGAAGCAGCATCTTCGTAAGAAATTTGTTGACACCAACCGAATATCAATTGAAGACATAATTTTAAATCACATTTAATTCCTAAAAAGAAAGACTTCTCTCTGATAGATTGTTTTTTGGTACAATGAGGACAAGTCCAGTTATATTTATCTACTATTCTGGCAGGATGCCAAACTAAACTTTTTCCTTTACAATTTATATGAGGACAATTTGAAACAGTGCGAATCAAACTCATTTCTTTTAACCAACCGCATAACTCTCCTTCGTGACCCTGTTGTAACATCGGTCGTATAGCAACATCAAAATATCCTCCATGATCTCCAAAATGGTCCGAACAATCTCTGTGTGTGTTAGATGTATAGAAATTAATTAATAATATTACTCTAAATTATATATACAGAACGTCCTGAGGTTTACTAAACAAACTGCACGAGCATATTCTATGAGTGAAAATCAAAACAAAATTATTATTTAAAGTTATGCAGTTTGACTGATAAAGCCTTTGGACACTTATTATATAAATATATATTATCTACATAATCTTTTAATATTATAAAAATTTTGTAAAAAAATAATAATTACAACACTGAAAATTATACTAACAATAATTATTCCAAAAAATTAGAAAAATTAGAATAGGTTAGATTAAAAAAAATAAATTTAACAAATAAAATAATCACCATTTAGCTATAATTATTTATAATAATCATTCTGCGACGTGTAGAATGACAAGCTAGTAAATAAGCAACGACAAAGGAGGTTAATCATGGTAAAAGAATTTCATTCGTAATGCTTTTCTGATAGCAAATATATCTTAAAAATTTATCAAATTAAAATTTTGTCTACAGTAAAGGGAATTGAATTCATTATAATAGAAAATATGTATATATGTAAACAAATGCAGTAGCTTGTCATGCAACACCGCATTCAACAAGTATTGTCCAAAAATTCTTATAGTTTACCTTGTAGTTTTCACTTTCGCATTGTTCATTTTTCACATTCACTCTTACGTTATTTACTCGTAATAATAACAAAATATAATTAATTTAAATTAACATAATGCATTAAAAAATAATTGAAAAGAATAACAGAAAAAAAACCAAAGGCACTACCGTCTACTCGGAGCAGAGATGCATTTCCTACTGACCGTCCATGACGTACGATCAATGCGCCGCCTATCGATACTTGGCCTCAACTAAACACGATCGATGCTATCGATCATTTCAAATACATCAAAGAATACAATATTCTTTGATAGTTATATATAGTATAGATATTAGGATGAATCAAAAAAAAACTTTTATTTTTTTTTTGGATCTGACACACAAAAACTTGTTGCTAGGCACCTTTAGAAAGTACTCACCCAGTATGGGCTCCTAATTTTAATAGGAAGATCCTCCTCATCGCGGTTTTTTATTTTTTTCTCAGTCCAACAGAAAAAAATTCATACCTCCTCGTTAATTGATTATACGAAAAAATGTTTTAATCAGATTTTGTAGGAAATTCAATGTTCTACAAGAAAGGTATCTTATGTTTTTTTCGTAAACCTCACTATTTAAAAGATATTGAAGATTTTAGTTTGATTATTTTAAGACAAATTTCATTTTTGTTTATGAATTTTGTTACTGACTGAGTAATAATTATTATCAAATGAGATGCACTGATTCTTGTAGGAAATTTAACGCTCTACAAAAAA